TTTTATACTTGGTTTCATGAATTTTGTGTCAAAAAATAGTGCTCTTTTAGAAATAAAAAAAATTCATAATTTTACAAAACTTCAAGTTGTTTTGGTCCGTAGAGAAGTGGAACATGAATCTTCTTATTTGGTACAGAAAGTATGTACTATCTAACAAAAATTATGGATTCCACTAGTAATTGAGCTAGTATTTGAAAATATTATATATTAACGGTACAAAATTTAATTGTACTATGGCCTACGCGCATAAATGGAGAGGGTATATATCTTACGGTCAAATGGTAATATGTGGCCCAATTCAGATGAATAGTAAATATAATCAAGCTACAAGATCAAGTCTCATACTAGATGAAGAGATGATCAAGCATATGATAAATGCGCATCAATCCAAGACATAATTTGATATTTTCTTCTTATTCTTTTCTGATCAAATCAGATCTGGATTGTACTAACCAATTTTATATGATGCAACTTATCATTGATAAAGTTATTCTTCATGTGCCACCTTAATCATAGAATATATGAAATAGAGTTCCTCAAGATTTTTTTTTTTTTTCAAGAAAGGTGAACCTTCCGACTAATAAACAAGTGTATCCAACGTCTATAGACAACCAGCAAGGGTGTCCAGCAAGATTCAAAAAGATTCAAATCATTGAGGGCCCGTGAGAATGAAGAACTACTTTCTTTAGCAAATGATAACATTGCATCTAACCCCAATCAATTATTTTTCCAAACCACTGAACATAAATTTTCACATACAAACATGTTAGACCCATTCTTTTTTTATTATTTTTCCTCTCCGAGTTGTGCCTTGATTATTCCCTGATTTCTTGTCTGCTCCTATCCATTTCCCTTTCAATCCTTAAGCACAAGGGGGTCACAAAGATGAACATGACATGAAAAGAATGGGGCATGTGCACTTGAACCAAGAATATGAAGCACCTAAGATATCATTAATTAAGTCTACTGGTACACCCAGCAGTAGAGTGAGCTAAGGATTGAGCCACAAGGGAAGGTGACAACCAACAAACAACATGCTAACGCGCAAAAATTAATTATTCAGTGATCCCTCCTGTCTACGAGATAGTTGGTGTATGATTTCTTAAATTTGCATTATTCCAGAAAGTTACTCGTTTTGCATCGATTCAAAAATATATATATATAATTTTCCATGTACCAACTATCCAATGAGCAGCAATTAGTGAACACTTTCTCATAAATAGTGGGTTTAGTCCACACAATCCATCTAAGCAACTAAAGTGACTGTGATATTAATTTAAGGGAGGTATTTGGTGCGTGCATTATCTAAGCAACCAAAGTGTTTTTAACATAATCCATCTAGCAAAGTTAATTGACTGTGATATTTGTCTTAGAGACCAAAAGAATATGTACTCAATGAGAAATTGGACCACATTGCTTTGTCTCCATCAAACACTTGAGGAGGTCGACAATTGGAGCCAAAAGTTTTCTAGTGGACGTGGATTAGTGGGAGAGAATTCAAAGAAGGAAGGAAAAAATAAAAAATAAGAGAGAGAGAGAGAGAGAGAGAGAGAGAGAGAAGAAGAAATTGGTGACTCACGTCAGCCGACAACCATATATAGTTTTTTATTTTCTTTCTTCAAATATCTTTCTACTTTCTTTTAGTAATTGAGAATCACAATTCACAAAGGAGTAGACTCCATGTGAGCAATGTCTCATTCACTTGCCTTAGCAACAATGGACCCTTTGTATTAAAGGTTGAGTCATTATAGCTTTTAGGTGATGAATTGTACATATATTTATTTGATAAGATTAGGGGAAGAAATTTTCTCTTCAGGAATTGTCTACACATTTGTACTTCTAAGATATGGAGATCATCAAATTTATTCCTCCACACTATAGAGTTAGTGATAGTAGGCAAATGTCTCTCCTTACTTTTTGTTGAAAGCATGACGAAGAAGAATAAAAGGGAAAAGATGGAAATGATAGACGTCAGGATTTAAAATAGGAAAATTAGGGAAGCCTGATTTATTTTCTAAAGTACATGTGTATGTTCTTTAGATAATGAACTTATATGTGCTTTTGTCTATATGAAATCAACACATTTATGAGGTTAATACAAGCTTTCCATCGTAGTAAAGCTTCATTTTCAATTTAACGAGATTGGATTTTTTTTTTCTACCTGCGATAAGGATGCCTGAGAGAACTAGGCCCATTACTAGAAACAAATTAGAGGACACATGCTGATATAAGTAGAATATACGTTTTTTTTAGGAATTACCACTAAATACAATTATATAAAAATACATTAAAAACAATACAGAACTAAGAAGAAGATTTCATGCCAAGAACGCTCTGAACAATAAGGTCCCTGGGAATAAGACGCGCCGAGTATCACAAACAGAAGTGGCTTTTTTGCCTCAACTAGTATAAAAAAATAAAAGAAATATTTTTTTTCCCCAACAAATTTGTTAAGGAATATATAGGAAGAAATTCTATGCCGGCAATAGATTACCAACAGATATTTAAAGAGAGCTGATATTCAAAAGAAATATTACAAACTGATACGTTTTGGATCATGTATCCAATATCAAACATTATAAGAAAGTTTTAACATCTTAAACTGACATCAGGAAAGAATGGATCAAATAATTACAAACAAATGGACACTCTCAGGACATAGTTAAATCTCAATGTACAGTGTTTCAAGAGGCATATTTGCTATGAAGTTTCCTTTTGTTCAAACCTTGCAAGTTTTTATATCACAGCTACAATACAGTCGTGTTGCTTGTAAGTGGTTCGCTGGCTTCAAGCAGCTCGTCGGTGAGGCCAGTGAAAACTAAGGAATCAGTCTCGATAGGCTTGAACTTGACAAGTGATGACGGGACCAAGCGTTCCTCTTCAAGCGTCGGTGGCCTTCTATCTCCTACTGTTGTGAAACGAGGGATTACACGCACTTTAGCAACAGCAGGACTCAGAAGCTCAAATTCCAAGCACGGTTCTTTCAGTGAAGAGCTTACAAACTGCAAAGACCAGGACTACATATAGTTAATCTCAATCTTTTGTTTATTTAAAGTCACCATTGTATTTCATTCATCAAGCCATTTCACATGGTTGAGGTCATTTTCTTAGTCAACCCATGCCTGTTTCACTACACAGTTAATAGAATACATCTAAAGTCTACCATCAAAACTTTTTAACTCTCACTAAGAAAGGAAATCTAGAAAACCTTTTCTTCAACCAAATGCATGTGTTTGCCTATATCTGTGTGAATGTGTATCAAACTGGGAATCTGTGTGGTAATAAACCATAAATAGTAAATCCTATTTTATTATTCCTCCCATTTCCCTTTTTCAAGTAATTGTACTGTTATGTGTAATTGCCGCCAAGAACACAAAATCTGATCGCTATAATAAGATGACTACCAACTTAGAATTGAAATCCGTAACCTATCCTATGCTATCATGATTGCTACATTTGAAAGAAAATGTCTCCTGAGGTATCAAGATCAATGTGGTGTGACATAGTTGACTGGTTAAATTTAGCTTCCACTCAAAAAAAAAAAACTGATGGGCTCTTGTGGACCACTTGAAATTAGTAGGATGGCCTAGTTAAAAATGATAAGTTTAGAACACTCATCTTCAATGCAAGTCAAAGTGGCTAGTTTAAGATTGAGTAGAAACAATACCCATTTTCTATCATCAAGTCAGAGGTTAGTTGATCCTTAAACTTGATTCTGATAGTTTTAAAATTTAAACAATACCCATTTTCTATCAAGTCAGTTGACTTACATAACGAAACTTCTAAGGAAACTTCAAGTATCATTAAACTTTATTCTGGTGGTTTTAACTTAGCCGTGCAGATCCCGAACACATTACAAAGCATAACCAACTTGACAGAAACAGAATAAACAATATCAGTTTTGTTGGCAACTTCTCACTTTCGTGGGTCTACTTTAACTATTGCGTCACCTCATACCCAGCTTATCAAACACAAATGCCATGCCCTATATATGTACATTCACATTTAGATACAGATGAATACAATTCAATCCTTGAAACCTAGTAAAAGCAGTTATGTGGCGTTTGTGGATTGTGAGAAAGGATAGATAAGAAGAAGAAGAAAGCATTCAAAGGACAGTGTTGCACGTAATCTTATCTACCGTTCTGCGTTAAGCTACCCCGAAACAAATCTAGATGTGTCCAAAACAATGATAGAGTTGTTAAGATTCATGGTTATTGGAGACCTACGCCAGGTTACAAAGAAATGCCAGAACACCTTATGAGAAGAACATATTTCCTAACTTTTATTTTCCAGTTCCTGTTACAAGCCCGAATGTTCAATTTGTAGTTGGAAAAATGGCTGCCGAGCCCAATCATATTTTTTAATTAAGGCAAGAACGACTTACCCTGTTATTTTCCAATGATCAAGAAATAAAAAAATATATTAAACTCATCTTATTTACTTTTGTTGATGAACAGGAGGTACATTTGGAGGTGGTGAATTAATTGGAGGTCACCCTTATGAAGCAGAATGATGCTTAGTCAGACTAAACAACCAATTAATTTCAAAAGAAAACCATGCAATATATCAAATTTCAGACGAGAAGACAATAACCTTCAAAATCTGGTACGACTTGACTTCCTTTCCATTTTCCAAACGTAAATGAATGGATAGATTAACTGGGAATGTTTTGTTAAAAAAAGAAAATCAAAATAAATAAACAAAGGGGGGAATCCTTGTGGTTCAACCGGTATACTGATGATTTAAGTGCAAAATTATAGATGGGACATAGTGGCG